TCACAGCAGCGGCAGGATATCCCAGCCCCGGAGGAAAATCGCGCGTGGCACGCATCCTTGCGCACGCACGTGCGTTGGGTAGAGAGAAAGAGATAGCAAAGAGAGAGAGAGAGAGAGAGAGAGGGGAGAAGGGCAGAGAAGGAGCAGACTCCCGGAAGTGAAGCAAACGCGGAACCGGACGAATCTCGAGGATGATCTTCGCCGATTCTCTCCTCTTCCTGTGACTCACTGATCCGATCTCGAGCCTCGCGATCCCGATCGATCGCGAACGGTGAATCCGCCAATCTGATACCGCACACCTCTCGTTCACTGTGTCACCGTGTCACCGTTTTTTATCGGCGCCGCGTCGCGGGCGTTATCACCGCGTCATCGGGGAACGATCCCGAGGATCAACGCGACACAGTCGGCTGCATTTAACGCGGGCAAGGGACATGAAGTACAGAGCGAGAGGACGAGGGAGAGGATGAGAGAGAGAGAGAGAGAGAGAGAGAGAGAGAGAGAGAGAGAGAGAGAGGGCAGGAGGAAAGAAAGGCAAATACTGAGAGAGAGAGAAAGAAAAAAGGATACGAGAGAAGGGAAAAGGAGACAGAGAAGGAGGAGAGAGAGACCGACAAGAAAGGGGAACGATGAGAGAGAGCACGCGATTGTTCACCGATGCAGCCGACAGCACGACTGGCGGCGGCGGCCTTACCGCACCTCTGCACATCCACCCACGCTATATCGATCTCTCCCGTCCTCCGTCGTCGCTCTCCGCTCTTCCCTCCTCTTCTCTTCGTTCCTTGCCTCACCTCACCTCTCTTCGCCGCTCTTCTAATACTCGCGCGCACAGGAGCGCAGCGACGACGGCGACGGCGACGGCGACGGCGGCGGTACCGGCGCTGCTGGTGTCCGCGATTCGTCGAGGCTTCGGTGGTGGTGGTGCAGCTAAGTTGAGCTCGCACTCGTCGGATACGATTGTACGCGGGGATATAGTCGCGCAGGTGTGTACGCGTGCATGAATGGATAGCGCGACCACGATGTGTGGGTGTAGAAATATGTATGCATATGTGTGTGTGTGTGTGTGTGTGTGTATGTGCGCGCGCGCGCGAGAGAGAGAGAGGACGCCTGGCTGGGTAATAGTATCGCCGCTTGGCTGGATGGGTGAGTGGGTGGGTGGGTCGGTTGGTGGGTGCATCCTGGATATACAGGGTGCCGAATAGCTACGCGCGCTCCTACCATATCACGAAGTCGATTTTATTCTACTATCTGACCTGGTCGATTTTTGTTCTACGACTTCTTTTTTCCTCGCTTGATTCTTGAGGATTCATCCAGCTGGATCAGGATGGAAATAACTTCCTTAATAGAACGAGCGTTTATCTTTGGTAATTCTCTTTTATTTCGAAGAGAGAATCCCCTTAAACTGATATATTCTTATATACTTTAACATTTTTTAATTCTCAACAAGATTGCGGAAGTGGCGCGTGTAGCTCTTCAGCGACTTATGGCGAGTGTCCAACAGGTCAGTGGGAAGTGAGCGGGACGGTGAATCGTAAAAGCAGCCGAGATGAATATACTATACGGGTTCATAATGGACGATGGTTGATCTCCAATTTTCAGAGGATGTATAACAATGACAACTTATACACACACGTGGCAAAATCTCTCTTTCATTCTCATCGATAAATTTTGTGCGTTTAGCGATTTCCACGCGGATAGATTCCGTCGCAACGATCGTCGCTTATACCGGTAATTAGTAGAAATCTCGCGCGATAGATGCGTGAGTTTACGTAACATTCTGCTGAGTAACAATGCCTGTATATCCCGAGTGCATAGTCGTGCAACTGATCGAACGTTGCACGACTATACACTATGAACAGTTCAGAAGAATCGCGGAACGCGTAGGAAAATGTCTTCGCCATCGCGGAGGGAAAGTTCGAGCCGCGCTTCTCTTTTCGGGTCGGATTCTCCTTCTTGCATTCGGGGCATCCATTTCGCCGGCGGACGAATTACGTAAGGACCGAACGCAAGGATCCTCCGAGATGCAACGCGACGACAGACTAACTAACGTGTTAGTTAGTCGTGATCGGTGAACTCGCATACGTGAGAAACTCGTTTCGCGAAGCTCGTTTCGCGGAATGCTTGCACGTTACATAATCGCCGAGTACTGAACAAATTTAATTTAATAATAATATATTAGAAAATCAAAGCCGATGGAATTGAACTTGTCAGCAGTAAGTTAGAAATTCGTAGCCGGTAAAATTGAATAGAAACGTGATACCAATAAAATTAAGACAGAAGTCACAATTAAAACGACAATTAGCTCTTGGTCCGTCGTTTACCGAAATTTCATCACACGAAAGATTTCAGAGTGTAAGTTGGCTCAACGTAGGGTTTATTACACCCCGAGTCGATTCTCGGCCGGAGCTGAGGGTAAACAGACTGCGACCGATTTCAGTTTTAGACGCTCGCGTGCTGCCCGAATTCTATTTACGACCGGCATCGCGAAATCGTAAAATGTGCAAATATGCATGCACACACGGCGCGCGTCGCGTATGTGCGAGATCTGTGTATGTATGCACGGATCATCGACTGCTGCTAACACTTCGACTGCCGCGAAGAACTACTTGACTGTTTCCGCGCGCTTTCACGAACTGTCACATCGCGCGTCTTTGTGCCTCGGTCGTATCGTAAACTGAGCCTACTTTAGCCCTTCGGTTTGACTTCGACCCGACACTCGGTTAATGGAGCGAGACAAGGTAAAAAGAGAAGAGCATCATCATGACACTTGTGCGCTCGAATTCTTGGAGACATGCACTGTAAAAACTGATGTGTTAAACTTAACATTTCATGCGTTCCAAGTCATCCACTCTCATTTATGTGTAAATTTAACACAAAACAAATGTGGTAAAAAGTAACACGCATAATATGGAAAAAATTAACACAAGAATTTAATACTTGAATACCGTCAGGAATCATAGTTTATATTAAATTGACATATGTATAATGTTAAATTAACTAAAATAAAACGTTACTTTAACATTTGAGAGAAGTATCAATCTATGGTTTTGATGAAATGAAAATGTTAAATTGACATAATCAATATCTGACATATTAAATATGTCAATTTAACACTTGAATACCGTTAGGAATCACAGGTTGTGTTAAATTGACATAATCAATATCTGACATATTAAATATGTCAATTTAACATTTTCATTTCATCAAAACCATAGATTGATACTTCTCTCAAATGTTAAAGTAACGTTTTATTTTAGTTAATTTAACATTATACATATGTCAATTTAATATAAACTATGATTCCTGACGGTATTCAAGTATTAAATTCTTGTGTTAATTTTTTCCATATTATGCGTGTTACTTTTTACCACATTTGTTTTGTGTTAAAAAGTAACACGCATAATATGGAAAAAATTAACACAAGAATTTAATACTTGAATACCGTCAGGAATCATAGTTTATATTAAATTGACATATGTATAATGTTAAATTAACTAAAATAAAACGTTACTTTAACATTTGAGAGAAGTATCAATCTATGGTTTTGATGAAATGAAAATGTTAAATTGACATAATCAATATCTGACATATTAAATATGTCAATTTAACACAACCTGTGATTCCTAACGGTATTCGAGTGTTAAATTCTTATGTTAATTTTTTCCATATTATGTGTGTTACTTTTTAACACATTTGTTTTGTGTTAAATTTACACATAAATGAGAGTGGATGATTTGGGACACATGAAATGTGTTAAATTTAACACATCAGTTTTTATAGTGTAGATAATAAATTATGCTTTTTATAGTTGACATGCTATATTCTACGTTTTATCACTTGACATATTTCGTGCGCGATAGTCGACGAAAGTAAATAAACGTACATAAGCTATTATCATAGTACATAAAAAAAAACTCAGCACTCACAAAATCTATAGTATCGAACGGGACAAAAGGTAAAATTAACCCTTTATTCGGCAAATTTCATTCGAACAAATTTTAGGTGAAAATTTTTGAGCGTTGGAAATATATTTTCAACAATTTTTCGCATCTAGTGGCAAAAATCAAAACTGTCGAGACAGTGACGAACAGGTAAGCAGATTTTGTTGTTTCGAAGCAACTGTGCTAAATAAATGCATTCTGCAACTATTATTTTTGCATAAATCGACGATGCTTAAGAGCAACATTATCAAATGAAGGATTAAGCTTGCCGGAGCTGAGAGCCGATTTCGCATTTGGCGACACGAGTGATCCGTTCATCGCGCGCAATATATGTGTTGTTTACGATTTGCTGAAGAGGTACAAATATAGTTACTACACGGATAGATCCACGAAGCCACTCTATATATATATATATATATATATATCCTCATTATTTATCGGCTAATACTATATTTTACCGAGAGCGGAAACCGCGGCGTGTAAATTTACGTGCGCCGTGTGTGGGCCAGACTGTCCGTAATGTCGTAATGGCAATAACATCGGACAGGGCTGAGCTCTCTGGCATAACGGTTACACTGTGCCACGAACAGGCTGTAACCGCGGAGAACCGTCGTAAACAGTTTGGTAGCACGGTACCAGGCGACGGAGACACAAAGGGGCGAGGTGCGGAGCCGGAGAGAGAAAGGAACGTCACTTCCGGCCCATTAAGATCGTCAAGGGTCGCGCGAATCGTGCGCGGGAGGCTAATTATTCCGGGGGACAGTGTTTCTCATCCTTCGACCATTCTCGTCATTTTTTTCTCTTTTTGACACGCGAGACGAGTTCCACGAGAGCCGCGAGGAAGCCCCGGGAAATTCATTGTAATGTAAACGACGCGAGAATCTTTTCTCCGGGCAGAGTTTCATTTTCTCACGATTTTCACGATCTCTGATGACTTCTTTTCACTTATTTTTTGAGGATTTAATGAATTGTAACTTGTAAGGGATGTATTATATAAAGGGCGATTAGTAAAATTTTGACTCGTTGGAAAAATGTTTGTTATATTAAGATTGTGAATCCTACCTTATCTGTGCATGATAGGAGGGCGTAGTGTGCTCGGTGTGCGTGGTAAGAAGTTCCGCAGGATTGCTGGCCATGTCTAGCGGATGTCCTGCCGAGTGCGAGATGGGTTCCAGCAAGAGGACTCCGGGCGTCGCCGGCGACGGCTGTGGACCTAACAACGAGACGCGTACTTTTTCTCTACCTTCGCTGAAATAAACAAGAGAGACAATCCGTTAATACAGAAATACATTTGTGTGTTATAACAGTACATAATCATATACAATAACACACATAATCACATCACATAATTCTGTCCCGTCTTCATAACAGAATTATTAAAAATTCTGTTGTAATCATCAACGAGCAAAGTTCAGCGAAAATAATCGCTTTAAATTGTTGACAGGATGGATATTGCGAAACAGAGATAGAGCAATATTCTCTCCCACAGTAATGCAATTTTCAAATAACTCGTTTTCGCGCATCCTATAGAAAAAGCAGCAGAAGGAATATACTGTGCAACGGTCGCCTTTGTACGCGGAGTACCAACCGTCGGGTTTCGAATAATCAAGCGAAGGGTGGATTTCCGCCTGCCTTGCGAACACCTCGCGGAAAAAACGAGCGGGGCGAAATTTAACGATTTAACTTCCGCTTTTGTCGCCACGCCTCCTCGCGTGTCCTGCCGGCGGGAGCGTGTAGTGCACCCCTTCTCGAGAACGCCCGCGGTGTACGCACACACATGTGCAATTCTCACGTACAAGGCGAATTATCTTTCACTGACTGCCTGAAGGATTAACGTGTCTGGCTAATTCTCAAGCGCGACCGTGTACCTTACGTATTCGACTGGCAAAAATGTGACAAGTAATTTGTTATATAAAATGAATGCAAGAGGAGGAGTATGCGACGCTTAAAAAAACGTCCACAAATTGATACGTGCTCTATTTTAAAAAATTAAAAGAATTAGAAATTATATTTTATCTTGAACTGGCTTAAGCTACCCTTTTAAGCTGCCTGAGTTGTCACAAAATGTCAAGGGGATGAAATCAGGGTTGAGGGGGTAAGGTGCCTATACTGTAAAAACTGACGTGTTAAATTTAACATTTCATGCGTCCCAAATCATCCACTCTCATTTATGTGTAAATTTAACACAAAACAAATGTGTTAAACTTACAAAAGTAACACGCATAATATGGAAAAAATTAACACAAGAATTTAATACTTGAATACCGTTAAGAATCACAGGTTGTGTTAAATTGACATATGTGTAATGTTAAATTAACTAAAATAAAACGTTACTTTAATATTTGAGGGAAGTATTAATCTATGGTTTTGATGAAATGAAAATGTTAAATTGACATAATTAATATCTGACATATTAAATAGGTTGTGTCAATTTAACACAACCTGTGATTCCTAACGGATTCAAGTGTTAAATTCTTGTGTTAATTTTTTCCATATTATGTGTGTTACTTTTTAACACATTTGTTTTGTGTTAAATTTACACATAAATGAGAGTGGATGATTTGGGACATATGAAATGTGTTAAATTTAACACATCAGTTTTTGCAGTGTAAGTTTCATGGTAGCCTATATCAGGAGTCTAAAGAGTAATGGTGATAAAGAGTAAAATTTGGCCCAGATTGGTGGAAAGTTTTAAGAGTTTATAGGAGACATACAGACACATTTTATCTTTTATATATATAGATAAATTTATATTTCGTCAAGGGGAGAGAGGGGGGGTAGGGATGGTAAATTTTAAGTAGGATGATCCGATTCTATCTTAAGCTCGATGGCAGTGTCCTGAGCGCGCCGCGGGCGACGAAACTCAAGTCGGTCGTCTGATTGCTCGTTTACCGCTTACATAACTTTCCAACGACGTCATTCACGTCATGCGTCGTGGTGCAGTGGCGTCGTTGGACCGAGAGATCGTCAGGAGATTGTGTTGCAACGCGCGCGGGATGCACCGGTACGAAAGGATTTGGCCGGGCCGCGTGAAGCCGGAAACACCGGTTTTTGCCCTTAACTTGGTCGTTGCCAAAGTGTTATCATAAATGCCAAAAAAATTAGTCGAAAAATGTTGCACTAACCAATGTCTCCCACATTTTGAAGTGAGTTTTTATTCAACCTAAAAAGAGAAACAAAATATCTACTTGTTTTATGCAGTTTCCATTCGATTAGATTTCCCATCCGAGTCGTTGTATTTTTAAACTTCAACTTTGAAAGTACGGCATGGAAAAATGGCATTACTTGAGAAGAAATAAAAAGTAAAAAATCTAGTTGGTTGAGAGGAAATTAAAACCGTAAAAAATTCCACCCCTTCGTCGTCTCGGCACCTTGAAACTAAAACGAGAAATGTCACCTCGCGATATGAATGGAGAGACGAAGGAAATGTCACGTGTTGAGGTACAAAACGTTCATTCTCGCGCTCGCATGCCGGCAGAGCGACACTGGTTGTTCTAATTTCAAGATATTGATTTTACATGCACACATATACATATGTGTTTTTGTTCGATTATTTTGAGATATATTTTTTTACAATTCACCGCGTCACCATGATCTTTGGTCGACCCCGTCGCTGAAGTAACTTTGTGAAAATTGACGAAAATTTCAGCTCGATTTAAGCGCTCTTACTTGGTCTCTCCGAATTAGCTGTGTGTATTTACAGCGTGCGTGGATGAGCAGCTTAATTCGTAATAATTGCTGGGTTTAACGAAAGTTAACCCTATTGACTTAATTGCGGCGATCCACGACGAAACTTGACCTTCTCGCGGGCAATATCTTCTTACGCGCGACCGGAGAGTGTCGTTATTTCGGTCGTCGATTCGATTTTATGTGCGTGACCGGATTAACCGAGCGACATCGACGGAAATGCGGACGAATGAAAGAGAGAAAGAGTAATGACGTTTAATCTGCGAGAGAAATCTTCGTCGCGCCTCCACCCCGGAATTCGCCATCGTCCGTTTTCATTTTTGCGGAAATCCCCGCGTACACATGTTGCACAAGTGGCAACTCGCCAACGTGCACACTGTCATCGACGGAGACACGGGTTGCCAACTATTCGGAGCGCATATATCGGGGCGGTGGCTTTGTTATGAATCTCTAAAATAGCCGCTTCGCCCGCGCGCGTAATTCGCGTAATGAACAATCGCCGGACGACAACTCCCTCCCACCTCTCAGCTCTGGAATCTCTGGTAATCTCTAAAGTGCACTTCCATCTATTTTCACCCGGTCGGTAAGATAAACGATTCGCGAGTTTTATAGACGGGGCGAATTAAAAGACAGTGAACATACAAAGAGATTAAAAATGTGAAAATACACAAGACTACAAGACACTTTGTAGAATCGAAAAACTAAGAGTATGAAGGTCTAAAAGCTTTGAGATATATCTCCTAATTTATATATAATATATCCTATGTATCTTATATATTTTATGTATAATATATCTTAAACTCCCATTTTCAAAATCCTAATTCGCGTATTCTTAATTTATGTATATCTCTAATTACGCAGCCGAATTAAAAAAAGGTCTCAAAGTTTGAAAGGACCGTGCTAGTTAATGTATTTTATTCGACTTCCGATGTGTATCACGATGTGTTATCTTCCTCGAGGCGTTTGATATCGTAACGAGGAGAAGCACTCGCAAAAATTGACACGATGAGAAATTTACACGCGATGTACGACGACACGAGAACATTGGAACGCGTGCGCGGTTAAGTACTCCACCGCGACGCATTTTCGTTCGCCGCCGACACCTCTATGAAACTTTCATGAGCGAGCCGATGCAATTAACGAGCGTCTCCCACAGGCGGATGTCTTGCACCTAAACGCCGATAATGTCGTTTGAAGAGATAACGTCTCGAAGATAAAAACGCCGGAAATGTGAGACGCTCCACAGTTACAAAATGTCCTCAAACCTTCCGGATTAAACCTGGCGAGGCCTATCGCTTTTCCGTGTCTCTTTTCTCAGTAAATAATGAAACGTAGCTAAGAAGAGCGCAGAAGGCTATTTCTTTTCCGAAACTACGTCTGTCTTTCTCTGTCTCTTTCTCTCTCTTGACTTTTGATAGTGTTACGTCATCGAATTACATCACCTTCGCCACCTGTTCGTGGCTGATGGATCCGGGACACGCCGTATAACCGCATCATCTATTGCTGTATGTTGCGCGCTTGCGAAAACTCGATTCGCGATGGATATCCTCGGGGGCCCATATCATCGGTTTCGAGGGGAGTGAACGAGATGAGGGAGACGCGTGCGGAAACCGATCTCGAGGAGAGAAATTGCTTTCTGCTCCAAGGGGTTGAACAGCGAGGGTTGTAATATCGTTTTCTTCGACACGGTAGGACGTCATGGAACTCGAGGAGTGTAAGGATACTCGAGGACGAGTGCACTTACGGCGAGAACAACGTCATAAGTGCATTAACAGCGCCATTACGACAGAAGTAAAATTGCCGAATGCACGCGTTTCGAGAGGTCCGTAGACAAACAGATAAGTTTGGGACACGACGATTTTAACGGAGAAGCATCGCGTGAAAACGGACTGTCAATCGAAGATTTGAAAAATATTTAATATCTTTCATTGTTGCGATAACAATATTAATGATGATAATCTGCTTGCAAAAATAGCAATTCTTGCATTCAATATGTCGTTAGTCTCATTTGAAAATGGATCATCGTTGATTTTAATACAATCGCGTCCTCAATAATCGCAATCAGAGCCGTAACAATGTCGGGTTTTCTCGCTCGCCTGCGGACTATACAACAATTTTATCGTTCTCGTTGTTCGCGCGACGGCCGCGCGAGCGGAACGATAAAATTCCGACGCGAGCGTTTCGCGCGATGAGTCAGCCGCCGATAAAAACTGCCATTCGCTTCGGCCGCGAATAGAATAACGATGTATTTATTTTGCGCGTGATAAATAGGCCGCCGTGGCAATCACGTGTGCGTGCTCGAGAGAGAGAAAGAGAGAGAGGGGGGAGAGGAGAGAAGACAAAGAGACAGAGAACGATAAGCTACTTGGTGTTCAGTGTATCGGGAGTGTTAACCTTCATCCGTCGCCAGTCGCATAGAGCCAATTCAACGTATCTCCGACAGGTGCATTGTTACCTCGTGAAATTGCGGCTAAGTCGCGCGGCGCCTTCCACGATTATCTTCGCGAGCGCGAGAGCATTTGAATGTTAATAATTGAGTGGCTCGCGCCTCGTCGTCGCAA